TTTGAGTTTGCAAATCAAAAATGCGAGTATTTCACGTCTTTTAGGATATTGGCGCGAATATTTACACCATTCCAGAAGTTTTACAAGAGCTCAAGTGTGAAAAGTCGCGACACCTGATTGAGAGTCTTCCTTACGAAATTTTGCTAAAGGAGCCAACACCTGAGTCAATAAAAATAAGTAAGCTTCGTGGCTGTACTGTCTTTCAAATATGAGGCGGTTGTTTTTAGTAATGTAGGATTTACTCCAAGGTGGATAAGACTGCTTCAGGAGAAAAACTACTGTTCCTTTGGGCTTAAAGTAGCACGTTTAAGAGTTGTGTAATGTTATTGCTATGGATTTTTTGGCAGTAATATTTCGTGGGGTTACATCAGATAGTGTTGATGATTTGGATTTTAAGGAAATTCCCGACATATTCTCGTGTTCTTATAACTATTTTTAGCTTCTTTTTTTATTCACAAGTTCTTGTTGTTTCAAATGATTTTAAACTGCTGTCGCAGAGTGGTTTAAAACTATGTTCGGTTTGCCACTTTTCTTTGCTATAGTTACTTTTTTTTTTTTTTTTTTTAACTAAAGATTTTAGAGGTAATTTTTTAAGAAGGATTGACTTGCTTTTTTCTGAACTTTTTAGCACACTTGTGTCCTTTTTTAGTTAGCTTTAAAACTTTCAGTTAATGATGTTTCGAAGAAAACTGGAGATTATAGCGCGCTTTCCCTTGTCGATACCAAAGTGCTTGCGTTAACTCATGATCTTTTCTTGGAGCACTGTGGAAAAGATGGCCTTGTTTATGACGTAAAAATTGTGAAAGCTATGGGGACCACTGATGATTCGAAAACTAGGCTATCTTTCAGTTCGGAAGTCAGTGACGAGAAGTTCAGTAAAGAACAAAATGGCGACGATACTTATAGAGTTTCATCTGTCGTTGCAGGCTTCTACAAGCCTACAGCTGTAAGTAATCATACAAACTTGATTTTTTAAAAATATTTTCTTCAAACACGGTTTTGACGTTTAGAAGTTTGGTAGTGTAGAAAGTGAGCCTGATCCTGGCGAAGGTTCTAGTACGTCTTCAGATGAGGACGGATGGGTAGATGAAGGAAATTTTGAAAGTGTCTTACGTAGGCTTGGAGCAATTATTGTGCCTCAAGTTAATGTGCAGGTAGTTTTAAAGAAATTATTTTTAATAGGAAATCGGTACTGAAATTAGGAGTGGTCTTTAAATTTGTACTTTGTCTGGTAAAGCAGAAGAAGAATTTCTTTCCAACAGTGAGCTCTACTTATTATTTTATGGCCTACTTTTATAAATTTTTGTTACAGGTAGCTTGTATTACAACGGATTTCGCTATTCAAAATGTTCTACTTCAAATGGGTTTGCCGCTGTTTTCTTTGGAGGGATACCGCATAAAGCGTTTGAAATCATACATACTGAGGTAGCCTCTATTGTTTTTCATATTTAATGCTTTGTTGAAGTCACTTGTAGATGTCAAACTTGCTATAACACTACCTCTGATATGGGACGGAAATTTTGTAAACAGTGTGGAAACCAATCGTTACACAGAGTCGCTGTTACAGTCAATGACGATGGAAGTATGCAGATGCACTTGAATCCGAAAAAAGTTTTTTCTAAGAAGGGGTTAAAGTACTCTCTTCCTGCCCCTAAAGGTCCCGTTTTTTACGTCAATTTTATTAAATGTTTGTGTTTTCTTTATACACCCAAATTTGGTTTTTGAAATTAATAGATTTTTTTAAGGCGGAAAGCACGGTAATGATCCTCAATTATTTGAAGACCAGCCGATACCCCAAAACAGGATGGCCAAACAAAAAACAAATCTGTTGTCCTCAGATCCTTTCGAAATGAATGACGTTACCAGCAGGTATGGGTAATTGAGGTGTTTTATAGTGGGATGTGGTCTGATTGTAGTTTACATTAAGATTTATGGTCATTCTCAAAGGAACCTTAGAGTTATAATGTTTCAGATCGGCGGCTTTAGGAATACGATCATGGCAATCGAAAAGGAGCAGGAACCCTAATGTGTCCAAAGGTGGCAAAAAAAGAGGGGGTAAAAAGCGATAACTAAAGTTATTGTTTTATGATGGCATATTTCACTGTAATTTTGGTTTTATCTCTTCCTTTTCTTATTACAGTGATATTGTGTTGTTGCCATTATAGCTGGGTACTTTTTGACTTGTTATTGTTTTTTTTTATTAATTTTTATATAGTACAGTACTCTAACGGAATACTTTAGTGGAATAGTTGTGTAATAAATAACTTTGCTCTCGTTTTATTTTGTCTGAGCTTGAAGTTCTATAACTTTTCGCTTTTATTTAACCGAGTGCATTTGACGTTATCTCAGTATGTCAAGGGTTTTTTGACCTAATCACTTCTTCATCGATTTACGAAACCACAAGAACGTCAGGTTTAGCGTTGCGCAGTCTTTAATTTATTTGTTTGGATGTTTAAGTTACTTCTGGAGTTGCTATGTTAATCATTTTTTGTAATCATTCTGGATTCACCATATGCTTTTTATTAAGGCTGAGGTCTTGGCATATCGGATTTTACACTCGTTATTTATAGTTACGGATTTGAGTGTCCTTTGAGCATAGTGTTATTCTAGATAAGAGCAGTAGTAAGTATTTAAGTTATTTTATTAGTTCATGTATTAGTGTTTATTAGCCGTTCAGCTTTGTTTTATGTGTTGGTTGCTGGTGAGAATATCATTTCGTTGTGATACATGAGACGCATCGCTTTAGAGAAGTTGTGTAGAGCGTTTTTCCAAATTATTAAGAATCCTATATTTTAATTTCATTACAATATTTAGGTGTGAAATGCCGAATTATTACTGCCACCAGTGTGAGCAGTCAGTTCGACTTCGTGATGGGGTTAGTTTTTTTAAAAACTGCTACAATTTTTTGGAAAGTGATTTGTGGGGGTTGATTCTTTTTATTTATTTCAACTGTTACATTAATTCTGTGAGAAATGTTTTAGTATGGTTTTGTTGATTTTTTCAATTCAGTTTCTTTATTCCTGTAAAATATTATAGGATTTCATTTGTTCGACATGTGGTAGTGATTTCGTAGAAGAGCTTCAACCAGACAATAATTTACCAACCCCATTAGCTACAGTTGGTTTTTGAATGTTTTACTTGAAGCTTAGAGTAGCTTTTATTTTACGAAACTAACTCACAAAATTTTTCAGATTTGTAAACATTTTGAATGTTTCAGCTTTTTGATGGCTTTTGGATGCCTGGGGAAAGTGACACTGGTGACAGCCGTGCGGGGACTTCTACTGACCAACCAGTTATCGGCGGTTACGCCGTAACCACAGATGATCAACCGAATAACACAACCAATTCGCCGTTAGGTGTACCGCCTAATCGTACTTCAGAAACTGGTACTGATGCTTCTCCTGAAGCTTTTATTACCTCATTCTTGAATCAGGTTTTATCTAACCTTTCTCCACATGGGACACGTATACAGTTGCAAGTCTCGAGAGATCCGAATTACATCAAGTTAGTGTTCCGTAGTTTTATGTCCTCATTAGAGTGCCGTTTTTTAAAATCTTTCATTTATGCACAGTTTTGATCTACTATCTGCTTATATTATAATATATTTGTTATTATCGGAGTAGACTGTTTTATTAACTTTTCCGATTGCAGTGTTGTTCGTCCACTGTCAGATTACGTTTTTGGTGAGGGTGGACTAGATGAAGTTGTGACACATCTTTTAAATCAGTTCGATGGAGGTTCCAGTCCGGTTGATCCGAAGTATATGGGTAACCTCCCTAGATCGACTGTTGACGAAAAATTAATAAATGATAATGAAAGATGTCCAACGTGTATGGAGGTTTTTGTTAAGGTTGGTTTTTTAAAAGAGGCAGCTATTATTACTTTGTATAACCGGTTTAAATTTTCAGGATGAAGAAATTGCAAAACTTGATTGTCACCATTGTTTTCATCCAGACTGCATAATACCTTGGTTTAATAGGCGTAATACTTGTCCAGTTTGTCGTCAGGTAGTGGATGCATCGAAGTGGCCTAGTAAAGACCCTCTCGAAGAGCTGGATTAAATTTTCGCTAGTCTTTAATTCTGTCAAGTGTGGTACAGTTGTCGAACGTGTACTTTTCCTTGTTAGCTTCTTTTGTTCCGGCTAATCTTAGGTTTTCACTGTCTAGTCTGTGTTCTATCTTTTTAAATGTTATGCTAAATGTGTTGCTGGAATATCTTTATTATTAAATGCGAAGTGTCTGAGGACTTTAATAAGTTTTTTGTTCCACAATTCAGAACCGTCTTTCATTTCTGCTCAGAAGTTAAATATTATTTTTTCCTTGCCTTGGCTGTTTGTAGCTTGGAAAGTGACTGTTTTGATTGATTCTCCAAATTCTTCTTTTATATCGTTTTTAGTCGGTTTGTGTTGTATCTGATGATGTATGTCTCGCATTTTTTTTTTTCTGTGAAAGGGAAGTCACGAAAATAGGCGAGCTGGTAACACATAAATTGGAATAATATTCTGTTTACATGTTTTTTGGATGGACTTTGAGTTCTGATGCTGCGGCTGGACAACTAAATTTATTGCATTTTCACGGGTTTTTTTTTGAATTTTAAGTTGATTGATGTGTAGTTTGTGTTCTCTTGTATTTATAATAAGTTCTTGTCGTTTGGTAAAATTGTTTTGTTGTGTGCTTCCTTTATTGGTAGGAAGATTTTATTCATGAAACTTAAAGCACTTCTTAACCATTTCCTTAGAAAGGAACTTTGGTGTATTACTGTCATCAGTCATAAATGTCAGTAGATTGATTATGGGAGTGGTTCGCCGCTTTTTAGTCGTGATGATCAAAGTCATTAAAAGTATTTGTATTTTGTCTATACAGCAGTTCAGGCCGCAGCTGTTTTTTTTTTTAGGAAATGAAAGCAGTTTTACTGATGACTTGTGCTGGTTACATCTATCTGTTGCAATTAATGATTAATTGTGGGGAGGGGGTTGGGGTGTTTGTGGCAGGCCTATTAGGGAGAGTGGGGGATGAGAACTGTTGACTTTAAATAATTGAAATGCTCTCCCAAAGTTGATGCATTTCTAAATTGTGCTCTAGAACCTTCTGTTAGTAAGCGACAAACTTTTTGCTGACGGGTAGTGTTAAGAGCGTATTGTGTTTGCTAAGTTATGGTGCTCTCAGGTAACGTGCAAAGTTTTGCGTATAAGTTGCGATTAGGTGTATCTATCGGTTGCCGGTTATTAATTTATCTGATAGGATTTGAGGACTGAACGTATTGGGGTGCTAAGGTTTGGTTTCTTGGGGATCTTAAATTATTGGGCAGTCAGCTGTTTTATTAGGATCATTTGCATTTCTGCTGTGAAAGAGCCCCAGAAATATTTCGACGATTGCTGTTGACTTCGGTTTTGGAAGCTGAAACTTGAAAATCGAACCTTTGTTTAGATTAAAGTTTTATGCCATTTTGAGGCTTTCAGTCATTGCTTTTACTGCATTGCTTACCCACCAACTTGCTGTTTGCAGCTTTAAGCCGACAACTACTCATTTTCTTTTTGGCTGCAGTGCATTAGTCGTCAGGAGGAATGATTTTTGACCTGTTTTACAGAGCGGAACTGGTCTAATAGTAGTTGAGTGTTACTTTGAAGATTACATATAGACTACATTTGTTGAATTTTGCTTTATATTACAGAGCTGTCTGTGGTGTCCTGATCCAAAATTGTCGCTTAAGTTTATCTGCTATAAATTTTTTTGTTTATTTCTGTGCTGAAGTTTTAAAACTTACCAGAGTTTTTAAGGAGCATAGTGAAATTGTGGCTGAAAACGGTCGGGTTGGAGAGTAAGGTTTTTTAAACTATAATGTTTAAGTCAGATGGCGTAAGTTATTTTACTATTCTCTCTCGTGAAGTGCATAAATAATGAATCAACAAAGCGATGTTGTAGCAAACTTCTGCTAATTAGTCGAGAATTACTGAACAGTTATTGTTTTTCTTATCATAATTCTGTTAGAATTCGTGGTTAATTAACAGCATTCCATTTTGTTCAATGGAAAGAAGTTCAAGATATCGTACTTTTTATTATATTGTAAGTCAAAGAAACGCCCGTTTTACTGCTGAAACCGCAACAGTTATTTTTTAAATTAGTGGAAATGCGCAGTATTAAGCATTGGTTCAAAGTAACCTTTGGCTGCAAATACAGGGGAAACAAAGAAAGATTTCTCTAGAGGAAATATGACTAGACTCTCAAGAAAATATTAGTTAAAATTTTCTAGTTTTTTTTTGTTCTTGTATTTATCTTACCTGATTTATTTGGGCGTTAAATTCTTATTTTTTGATTAGCTTTACCAGAGCGTGAAAATTTTTTGTTGCTAAAAAGTGTTTTTGGCACTTTGGAACTAGCTGCGCAATAAGCCAAGAAAGGTATTCTGTGCTACTCTTTTTAGCCATCAATAGTTCTAAGCACTTTTTGACTTCACATGTTAAAGCTTGTGATGACTTTCCAGAGATTTTGATTTAAAGTATTATTTTGGGTATGACCTAAAAGTTGTTAACAACTGTAGGGCTGAAACAGTCGTAACAATGGATGGTCGGAGTCACTAAAGCTATCGGAAGGCTGTTGCTAGTATTGCATTTGTCTAACCATCCAAATTTTAGATTTTTAACCAGATAAAACTCACATATCTAAAAGACGATGTGCAATTTTATTGCTTGAAGAAACGCGAAGAACGATAGACAAATTGTTGATGATCTAGGCCGCTGTTCATACTGAAGATAAGTTAAGATAAGTTAAGTATTGAAACTAAAAGTTTGTGCTAAGAAACTAGAGCAAAAAATATGAATTATCTGCTTTCCAGCAATTTCTAGACGATATTATTAGACACTTAGGTGCATTTTAGTAAACTTTTTTAGTAACCTGGGCTTCGAGATGCTCTCCAAGAAGATACCAATTTGTAGTCGTAAAAAATTAAGTAAAGCTGAAACATTACGTGAAGCGTTACTGTACATCAAATATTTACAAGAAGTTTTAGCGGAAACTGAGCGTACACAGTTTTGTCCATTTGCAACTTTACCGATTTCATCGTCGTCGTTGTCGTCGACGACGATGTTATTTGGAGGGTATATTTGTAAGAGTTTTTTGCTTAACATTTTTTCTTGATTAGCCTATACTTTACAGTGTACAATCTTCTCATAAAGTATTTGGAGTCCTATGGTCAGCGTTGATTTTTACAATTCGTCTTTCATATTACTGCTGGCCAGTAAATTTCTTTAATATAAGTTCATATAACATAAATTTATAATCGTGTAAAAGTACTATATGAAAACTGCAAAATTAATTAGCTTTTATCGTATTAAAAATTTTGCGGCAAAAGTTTCACTCATTTGTTTCAAATAAAGCACAGAACTGATGAGGAACAAGAAGGATTGTTACTGCAAATGCACTGTACTTCATTTTGCTAGTCCCTGATTCTTTCGCTGAGAATTACATCGAAATTATTTAAGGTTGAAGTTATGAATGGTTGAGTATGGACCAGTATGGTATTTTATCTTTTTTTTCGGCATTAGTTCTTTTATTTTCACATTTATTGGTGTAAGTACGAACTGGTAATAATAAGCCAAAACAGTATCCTTTTAAAATAAGTATTATGTATTTTCACCAAAACATTATGCAGCGTAAACAAATCAGATCATTTTCTTTCGATTAGACGGCCACTAATTTACAGAGATTATTTGCTTAAGAAAAAAAAAAACTTTTCTTTTGGAAATCATAATTTGAAAAAAGAGGATGAATTGATTTTTTCTTTTTTTCTTGTTTTTGCTAAGATTTTTTTGTTTATCTTAAACTGATTAGGGTTTTGTTTACA